GACCTTCCTGTCCTCCAGTGCTGTCAGGTCGATTTCCCTCAACCTTTCTTCGTAGGACATTCCTCTGAGCTCCAGAACTAACCTTGTTGCAAACCTTTGCACTTTTTCTAATTTCTTGATGTGCTTGACCAGGTGTGGGTTCCAAACTGTGTATGTGTGTGTGTTTGTTGGTAGTCATGCCAGATACATGTCTAGGTCAGCTATGCTAACATTTTTGTTTTTCTTGGTGCTGGCTGGCATGCCTCACCTGCTGTGTTGATGTATGAACTGTTGGGCCAAAGGTTGTGAAAAGGTGTTGACGGTGATGCCTCACCATTTTTGGGTTATCCTGTGTGTTTTGGGGGTTGCTTCTCCAGGACCCACCTGTTTTTTTTTTAATCACCAATGTGGGGTGACTCCAGGGTTCCTTGGAATGACAGTATAGGTGAAGGCATGACAGGTCCACCTTTTGAGTTGTCAACAATGATGACTCTGGTGTTTCGTCAAGGCCACAGTCCCACTGACAAAATTTATATGTGACTAACTACCCAGGTTTTGAAGTCTGATAATTTTCCCTCACGTGCTCTCCAATTTCTCCCAGAGGTGTGTTTTGCATAGCCAGCTTTGCTTATTGCACAATACTGTGAGACGCACGGTTGATAATGAAACTTTTTTTAATGTAATATGTACAATAATTTTTTGAACTACACCTACCATCCGACTTACGACCTGCTCGACTTACGACGACTCGACTTACGACCGTGTTTTTTATGCCAAATTTCTGGGAAATAAACAAGTGTTTGTGTTGTACACAGTGTTTATCCTAAACCTTACAGTATAAAATACAGTACTAACAGCATAAAAAGTAAAAACATGAAATACCAAAATAAAACAATAAAATAAAGTCATTACAAAAATGTAATGTTGATATTCAGTAGTAAAGTTTGACTTACGACCGGTTTCTCGGAACCGAACTCGGTCATAAGTCGGATGGTAGGTGTATTTCTCGAGACTTCATAATGTTAATATTTTCTGAAGTACGTACCTGTTTTATTTTTACAAGCAAAGATGTGTGACAATGGGTACTAATGTGTATCAGTTTTATGTAATTAATGTGTATCAGTTTTATGTAATTATTGTGTACAGAGGTAACCCAGTCAACTCCATTTATTTTTGTGTCATGAATAGTAAAATGCAGGTAGTAGGTTGGTAGACAGCAACCGCCCAGGGAGGTACTACCATCCTGGCAAGTGAGTGTAAAACGAAAGCCTGTAATTGTTTTACATGATGGTAGGATTGCTGGTGTCCTTTTTTCTGTCTCATGACCATGAAAGATTTCAGGTACATCTTGCTACTTCTACTTACACTTAGGTCACACTACACATACGTGTACAAGCATATATATACACACCCCCTCTGGGTTTTCTTCTATTTTCTTTCTAGTTCTTATTCTTGTTTATTTCCTCTTATCTCCATGGGAAAGTGGAACAGAATTCCTCCTCTGTAAGCCATGCGTGTTGTAGGAGACTAAAATGCCGGAAGCAAGGGGATAGTGTTATGTTGGTATGTCTTATTATTTTGATAGTAAGGTTCTCACTACATGTTCTAGTGTGGGGTAGCTTTTTGCTTAATGGCCTTATCTGTCTAGGGGTAATACTTACATCATGGCTGATCATCTTGAGTGTCTCTGATACCCTTTCACCAGCCCTCTTCACAGGTTATGTAAACTACTACTGGTGGCCCCGGTGGCCTGGTGGCTAAAGCTCCCGCTTCACACACGGAGGGCCCGGGTTCGATTCCCGGCGGGTGGAAACATTTCGACACGTTTCCTTACACCTGTTGTCCTGTTCACCTAGCAGCAAATAGGTACCTGGGTGTTAGTCGACTGGTGTGGGTCGCATCCTGGGGGACAAGATTAAGGACCCCAATGGAAATAAGTTAGACAGTCCTCGATGACGCACTGACTTTCTTGGGTTATCCTGGGTGGCTAACCCTCCGGGGTTAAAAATCCGAACGAAATCTTATCTTATCTTATCTTAAATATAACTGTATTCTAAATAGATTTTTTATATTTTTTTATTTTCACACTGGCCGATTCCCACCAAGGCAGGGTGGCCCGAAAAAGAAAACCTTTCACCATCATTCACTCCATCACTGTCTTGCCAGAAGGGCGCTTTACACTACAGTTTTTAAACTGCAACATTAACACCCCTCCTTCAGAGTGCAGGCACTGTACTTCCCATCTCCAGGACTCAAGTCCGGCCTGCCGGTTTCCCCGAACCCCTTCATAAATGTTACTTTGCTCACACTCCAACAGCACATCAAGTATTAAAAACCATTTGTCTCCATTCACTCCTATCAAACACGCTCACGCATGCCTGCTGGAAGTCCAAGCCCCTTGCACACAAAACCTCCTTTACCCCCTCCCCCCAACCTTTCCTAGGCCGACCCCTACCCCGCCTTCCTTCCACTACAGACTGATACACTCTTGAAGTCATTCTGTTTCGCTCCATTCTCTCTACATGTCCGAACCACCTCAACAACCCTTCCTCAGCCCTCTGGACAACAGTTTTGGTAATCCGCACCTCCTCCTAACTTCCAAACTACGAATTCTCTGCATTATATTCACACCACACATTGCCCTCAGACATGACATCTCCCACATGGTGCATCTCAGCAACTTTTGTCCTTCTCTTTTCTTGACTAACTCTGGGCTAACCAGTGTTTTGACACACTTTAGTCACCCTGGGTATGGTGGCCACAACTTAAGTTAAAAAAAACTCACCTCGGGAGCACACATAATGCCCCAAAAAGATAGAAAAAAGGACCCAGAGGTCCTGCCACCTCCATGTCAACAAAAGAAGAGAGAGAGAGAGAGAGAGGGAAAGGGAGGAGCCTAGCTAAACTCCTCCCACCAAAACAAAAGACTTGCCAAGCACAATTCTCTTGTTACCACAATTCTACTATTCCTTATTTTACTGTTACAAAAGAAATACAACTTTATAAACTGCTTGTTTAAATTTTGTGTGTGTGTCTATAGTATAACCTATTATATTGAGAAAGATAGGCTTGACCCAGCTGCCTCTCAGTCCTAAGGGTGATCAGCCCTTATGACATTTAGAACTGAGTCCCCATCAATTCAATATAATTAGGTATTCCAGAGTAACTGTTACTTATAAATACATGTTGGGTCCTATAGCCCCATAACAGATAGTAACCCCTTCTCCTGTACAAATTACTAAATTTAAAAAGAGAAACTTTCGTTTTCCTTTTTGGGCCACCCTGCCTTGGTGGGATATGGCCGGTTTGTTGAAAGAAGAAAGAAGTATGGTAAAATGTATCAATGTTGTGATGGGGCATTTTCATAGTTTAATTTTAAAACTACAGCTATAAAACATGACTGTGGGTTAATTTGGCATAAAACTTGATCACTTTTATATTAAATGAGTTTCACAAGTCTGTGGATTAGCAGTAGTCAGTGGAGGGATAGAGATTTAAGTTGATAAATGTTAATTTTGCTTTTCTATGTAAAAAAAAAAAATGCACTAAGGGAGTGCTTGATGCAGGTTTTTTTTATTTTTGGTGAATTTTGTGTTTCCCCAGCCCTTAGGTTAATTTCCCTTTTTATTTCCTTGACTATCTGCAGCCGAGTGGTTGCAGCTAGCTGAGTGAGACCTGTGGTGCAGGGAAGAGGGTATTATGGTGGTAGCAGCTAGCTGAGTGAGACCAGCGGTCCAGGGGAGAGGGTATTATGCTGGTAGCAGCTAGCTGAGTGAGACCAGTGGTCCAGGGGAGAGGGTATTATGCTGGTAGCAGCTAGCTGAGTGAGACCAGCAGGACTCAACTCGACTTGAGCTAGAGTTCGTCACGGCCACGCTAGCTGGAGATTCGTCTGTAAAAACTTGCATTTGTGGTCACAGAGGTACCTGTGCTAACCTTCCTATGGTGTAGAAATATACCTAGTTGGATGAATCTTATTGTGGCTAGCTGGTCTAGTGGCTAACGCGACGGGCTGGAGTTTTGAGACTCTATGACCGCGGGTTCAATCCCGGCCGGGGGTATGGTTTGGCGAGACCAGCAGTCCAGGGGAGAGGGTATTATGCTGGCTGCAGCTAGCTGAATGAGACCGGTGGTCCAGGGGAGAGGGGTATTACGCGGGTTGCAGCTAGCCGAGTGAGACCAGTGGTCCAGGGGAGAGGGTATTACGCTGGTTGCAGCTAGCTGAGTGAAACCGGTGGTCAAGGGGAGAGGGTATTATGCTGGGTATTGTAGAAAATGTGTGTATAAAAATGCTCCATTAATAATGTCAGTAACCAAGATATATTCTGAAAACAGACTCGTATTAGTCCTGAACACTAACAGAACAGGACAGGAGAGGAGAGGAGAGGTACGTGATCAGTACCAGGATAGCTGTGGTTGGAGAAGGATGGTGTTTGATGTTTGTTTGAGTGAGGGGTCGGTATTTTGGGTAAGTTTATGCCATGGGTTGTTTTAATAATTTTGTATTTACTTTCCTGATATTACCTGTAAGGCCCTAGTATGTGGAGAGGCCTGTTTAAGGTTTGGGAGAGTACCCGTGAAATGCTTTTGCTCAGCGGCCGGGAGACGGGGGATGTGTCATGGAGGCCCACTGTTAATATGTAGAAAGCAGGTTGTGTTGTATAATTAAGGCTACTTACTATTATTATATTTTTATATATGTTAGTTTTTGTGCCCTTCCTGATACTTAATGTAAGTAATGACCACCTAGTTTTCATGAAGGAAGAAGCTTGGCCCTAGGTTGGTGTATTTGTTTAATATTTTAAATGCCCCTAGACAAGGCTTTTACCCCCAGGTGCCAGGTCATGGTTACTTAATGTAATAAATACGTTACAGGGCCACTTCAAGACTGTGAATTCACTAAAATATCGCAGATGAATGACATGTGATAAATAAACACACAAGCTGTGATTACTCTCATTAGCAGACAAAGATGCACACAAATAATTGTCAAATTGCTATTCTGCTTTTCATTTGCTTACCTCTTTTGCTGTTGAAGATAACTCCAGAGCAATATCCAAGCCAGATGATCCCGCCCCTAACACCACTACTGTACATCCTTCGTAGGAAGATGGTTCTCGGTAATCATGGCTGTGACTCTGGCGGCCTTGGAATTTTTCAATGTCTTTTATATGTGGAATTTTTGGTACAGAGAAGTGCCTGAAATACACATAAAAAGAAAATGATCCCAAAAGACCAAGATTTTTATGTACTGTTTATCAACAGCAAAAAAAAAAAAATAAATACTGAAATATATTAGTTGATGAGCTGAACAGTCTACCCAAAGTCACTAAAAGAAACAGTCACAGCCCCACTCCAAAAGGTGGCAGTAAAGTAATTGCAAAGAACTACAGACTAACATCACATATCATTTTTGTTTTTCTTAGTGCTGGCTGGCATGCCTCATCTGTTGTGTTGATGTATGAACTGTTGGACCAGTCTGAGCGGCAGCGGCAGCGGCAGCGGCAGCAACGGTATCCTACCAGCTCTTCTTTCTCAAAAAAACATCGCCCATCAAAACTTGTGATGGCCTAAGTGAAAGTTCGACTACATGAACCCACGTAGACCACAACATGACCCAAGAATACTAAGAATGTAACCCAAATCTTGACAAAATTAGAAGATCTAAGGAAGACAGCCCTGCTACCCAAACACTGCCTCCGCTGCCAGACAACCACTTAACCCAAGCTCGAGAAAACAAGCCTTCTCCTCCATTGCTACACAGTATCTACTTCAGTGATACTATGAAAGGATATCGCAGAAGACACAACACCAGTAATAAAAGAATAAAAGCAAGGACCTAGAACTCAACTTGTCTACCCAGCAGGCGCCAGTGTATCATCAACCCCTCTCTCCGCCGCCACCCAAGGAACAACAACAACAACAACAAACATGGCTGACTCCCCTCCAATCCACTCCTTCAAAGGATTCATCCATGATACTCAGGTACGATTATTCCTGACAATATCAAGGACTACATCGTTGCTCTAGAAAATGAAATCAAAAAATATCAAAGCAGCACTCGAGCGACGAGATTCCAAGATAACCAAACCCCGAGAATAAGATCCAAAACCTTGAAGAGAAGATTTCATCGGGAAGTGTTGATACAGAAAATACTCTAAAAGCAGCTATGCCAGTCACCCCTGAACAAATAACAACAATAAATATGAAGGTTGAAGAAGCAATCAAGGACTGGAATCTGAACATGCACACTCGACTAAATGAATTTCCTTGATTTCCAAGACGACAAAAACTGAACAAGATAAGTTGTCTGGTGCAGTTATAATAAACAGTCCACACATTCCTTAGTGACATAAACAAGCACAGTGCAAAGAAATGCTATCAGGATTTAATTTCAGAACCACGTACAAGTCATCGTGCAAAACAATGAAATCAAAGAAACGCGTTTGTTAGGAAAACCCGGAAGTAAACACAGTATAATGATCCGACTTCATTCATACGATAAAAAAAAGGACTTAATTAAATCAGCAATTTACAATGAAAATGGAGTGTACATAAATGAGTGTCTAACAAAAAAACGTCAAAACCTTCTGTTCAGGCTGAGAAAACTTAAACGGAAAACAAAATACATCAGTGTTTCACGCGAGATTGGGAAATACTAGTAAGGAAACATCAACAGGACAACAAATATACCATCTCAAAAAGAACTGATTTCTCTACCCTTTCCCTTTGAAAGTGACATTTCTGTAACAGATTAAATAAGTGCCCTTAATACATATATAGTGTGGTGCATATAGTGTACGTTACTATCATATTGTACATTATTATTTTTATTATTTTTCATCAATAGCTAATGCCAACTACCTCCAATACTCTATAACTTTCTTACTGCTATTAATTGTCATAATTTTAAATTAAAGTCAAATCTTACTCCAAATTAATAATATTCATTTTTCTTACCTGTCCATTTAATTTGTTTATCACTACTTGTTTTTTTTAGTCATTTACATTGTATATTCAATTAGTGTATATTCCAATTACTTTTTTGCAAGTACCAAAACTATCTTTTGCTAGCTAGTACCAAAATACCTCATTTTTATTTACTTTTATTGTGCAATAAACTGCTCAATTTATCTAATATTACAAATCAGATCTTACTCCTAAACCAATATTTTTCATAGTGACCATTGTCCATTTAACTTTGTTTTCCCCTTACTTAATTTTAGTCCCTTATATATTTTCTCCTTTATTTTAGCTTTATATAACTACCCTAGCTTTACATTCACAATTGTTAAATAATCAAGGTGCTATTCTAGGTTGCTAAAGTAGAACAAATTCACAATTTTGGCATTTTTATTCCAAAACTCATTTATTTTATAGTACTACCTACTATCATATTCCCAAGCTCCATTATTTGATCATCACTTTATTTGTACTAGTCCCTTTTATATTGTCTCCAATGAGTAACTGTATGTTGCTACCAACAGTAACAAAACCTACAAGAGTTACAGAGACTAGTGTTTCCCTACTTGACCACATCTGGACCAACACCATATCCCCTTTAAAATCAGGCATAATTACAGATAATACCACAGACCACTACCCTACTTTCCTCATAACAACTCTTGGTAAATTACCCCAAGACACTACTAAAGTCACCTTCAGACTTCACAATGAGGCAGCCATTAATAACTTCACAACAGCATTAGCAAACATTGATTGGCACACTGAGCTAGAAATCAATACAGATATTGACGAATGTATTAATAATTTTCTAAAAAGACTCAATACCTCTATAAAAAAGCACTGCCCTAAAAAAACTAAGCAGATGACAGCCTAAGAGACTGAAACAGTCCCTGGCTAACACCCAGCATTCTCAAATCCATAAATACAAAACCCAATATGAAAAACAGTACAGAATGGGTCACATAACCAGAGACCAAACAAAAACGTTACTCGTCAATCCTAACCAGCCCGATAAGAAGGGCAAAAAAATTGTATTATGAGAACAGATTATCCCAAATTACGAGGTGATATAAAAAAGACCTGGAAACCCTATCAGAAATTCTGGGGAACAAAAAAAAAATATCACGAAATAGCGAAATAAAATTAGCAAATCAGATGAAACCCCAACTCCACCAACAGAAACAGCAAACAGACTCAATGATTTCTTTCCACTATAGGACAAAACCTTGCCAATAAAATCCCAAGCTCAGTACCCCACCAAATGACTACCTCACGGCAACTACCCGAAACAACTGTTCCTAGCTCCGACTAACCCATACGAAGTCTCCCTTATTATCAACGCACTAAAAAACAAGGCAGGAGATTTAAAAACCTTTTCCACCCTTTATATACAAAAAGTGTCACAAGTGCTATCACCCCAAACATTGCAACACTCTTTAACAAATCCATTGAATCCTCCACCTTCCCTACAGTATCAAAAATAGCAAAGGGTCACCCCGATCCCAAAGGAGGAGACCAAACAGAGTTGAATAACTATAGGGCCCAAAATTCCAACTTACACCCCCTCTCAAAAATTTTTCGAAAAATTAATTCATAAACGAATTACTCCCACCTTATCTCCCAAAACATACTCAACCCCTGCCCAAATTTTGGATCAGGCCTAATAAAAAACTAAATGATGCTATTATACACATGCTAGAACATATATAACTGCAATAGAGAAAAAAGAGTCCCACTGGGGATCTTCATTGACTTACGTAAAGCTTTTGATACAGTTGACCATGACTTGCTCCCCGTAAAATTATCACAAATATGGTATAAGAGGGCACTCCCTCAAAATACCTCAAGTCATACTCAGCAACAGAAGCCAATATGTGTACGCAAATGGGGCAAACTCTTCTGCACCCAAACCCAAATTAAGTTGGTGTCCCACAGGGAAGTGTCCTTGGCCCTCTTCTCTTTCTCCTATACATAAATGACCTACCAAATTTCTTCTCAATTACTCAAACCCACATATTTGCTGATGACACAAAAATACGTCTTCTCCCACCCGAGCCCAGTCACGCTAGCCAATACTGTTTAAAAACCGAATTACAGAAAATATCTACCTGGATGAGTACTAACAAACTTACATAAACATTGACAAAACCTACTTCATTCAGTTGGTAACAGAGCTACAGATGTCCCTCTTAACATAATGATAAACGGATCACCTATCACAAAGCTAACAGGGGAAAATTCTTAGGAATCCACCTTGATAATAGACTCAAATTTCATTCACATATACAAAAAATTTCTAAGAAAATTTCCAAGACTGTAGGCATACTATCGAGATCGGTACTATGCTCCACAGTCAGCCCTCCTGGCCCTATATCACTCTCTTATTTACCCCTATCTCACCCATGGAATTTGTGCATGGGGCTCAACAACAAGAACCATCTCAGACACTAATTACCCCAAAAAAGGCTGCAGTTAGAATGATAACAAAATTTTCATACAGGCAGCACACTCCACCAATAAATTTAATACAATCAAAACCCACTCACCATACAAAACATCCATACTTATTACTGCACCTTTACATACATAGAACCCCTCAACTCTGGGTATTAACCCTCCCCTCAAAAAATCTCCTTGCCAACCTCAACAGAACACATGACCATAACACAAAGGGACAGATCACTCTTTGTTTCCTCGTGTCCAAACTCACGCTATGCAAAAACTCAATGCACATAAAAGGCCCTAAAATCTGGAATTCATTACCTGTTAATATAAAAGAAAACATACCTGTTTATAAATTCAAGTCTCTTCTCAAAGATCACTTACTCACCAAAACCAAATAAATACTGAATAACTGAACCTTATAAATTGTATATCTTAAATGTTTCTCACAATTATATCACATAAATGTTAAACCTAAAACCCAATCTAAATTTATTATTTTTTAAAATTTACTACCTAACAGAATACTCCATTCTACTGAATTTACAAAAAATGCATGCAACATATGACCTGTCTTTGTAATACTCACTTGTGCTTTATAGTAATCAGTTACATTAATGTTTTTCACTGATTTCATCATTGCTTAGTTAATCTTAAGTTAATTTTAAGCCAGCCCGTAATGCTATGCATAGTATAAGTGGCTTTGGCATGCTGCTCTTATCTGTATTTTTTTTTGTACCTCTGTAAGTGTGCTCAAATTATAAATAAATAAATAAATAAATAAAAGGTTGTGACAGTGATGTCTCACCATTTT